AACAGTCTTTAAATACAGTGAAAGCAAGTTGATTATGCTGACTTTTTAAGTACAGTGGAAGCAACTTGAATATTGTATCTTTAAAACAAACCATGTTTTCAGCATGCTGGGTTCAAAGTGCCGCTGTTACTTGAAGTGACATACCTGTCTGTGCTGGCAGAAGGGTCAGAAACAGACTTTGCAACGTAGGTGCTGTGTTACTAATTTTACCTTTTCAGATTACATTCTATGTAGGAGATTGCCTGGAGAGAGGCTGTGGAAAGAGCGTGACCTTGTGCTTTGTGGACCAGCCGCTCTGCTGGCTCTAGAACTGGGCACAGTGCTGATGCTGTTCTAGCTATCACAACTGGTACAGCTGCCAAGAGGACTCGGGGGTAATTGGGCAGCGTGTTGGTGTGGAGTTGAAGCTGAAGGAAAGAGAGGGTGTGAGAGCAGAAGCCATGTTCGCAGGTTTGTTAGTAGGTGGTTTTCAAGTATCGAGCAAGAGCATGAGCAGAAAATAGGAAGATGAGAATTGTGTCCCTTAAAAAGGTGGGAGCTGCCTTACGGGACCAGACTGTCAGGCTGCCTGATCTGATGCAGCAGCCACAAACAGGTTACAGGCTTTAGAAAAACTTGTCAGAGCCTGCTCATGATTCCTGCTTGTCTCACGCAAGCTTTTGTATTGCCGCCTTTCTCCGCAGTTGTTACCCTCTTTGCATGGAGTTACCGCTGGCGTAACTCGGCTCTTTCTCAGGCGCTCCGAGCAGCTATTGCAGAGCTCAGCAGTGCATCTGAGCTGTTCCCATCCCACAGTTCCTTTAGCAGTGGTTCCCATTTGTACAGTATTGGTGGCTTTTCTTGGCGGTTCTGTGCTCTCCTGCCATTTTAAATAACCAGGAGCAGCGCAGCCCTCTAAAGGGATCGTCTCGTTGGCCAGCCCGGCCGTGTTACTGGACGGCTGCTTTGCGCTTTCTGCCCCGTCATCAGGGAAGGTTTTCAGTGATGATGAAGTTTTCAGTAAGGATGGAAACCCGGCTTGCTTGCAGGCCAGGCTTGCTGGCACAGGAAGCAGAAGTACACCCAAAGATGTCCCTTGGAGTCCAAAAGGTTGTTTGGGAATTTGTTTGGGCTTTATTGCTTAAATTATTTGAATTTATTCAACTTTTGAAACTAAAAATACTTCCCAGTACAGCTGAGCTATCGAATATGAGTGGCTGACGGAACGCTTTGCTTTCAGGTGGTTGGTCTTACATTTCCAATGCAGTCAGTTTCTAATTTGTTAATCTTGGAAACATTTTTGTGAAAAACTGCCGTGTGTTGTAATGTAGCCAAAGCTTTTGCCCAAGTACAGCTAATGTGAGGGTTGTGTAAGACCAGTCAAGGCTGCCTGACTTGTTTGGGATTGAGAAAGTGCCTCGTCCTTAATAACCTCCTCTTCGTTCACACTTACACTCTGTTTTCTTTTGTTCCAAGCGCAAGGACAGGCTGGACGGAGAGTGGCTGGAGAGCAGCCCTGAGGGGAAGGAGTTGGGGGTGTTAGTTGATGAGAAGCTGGACATGAGCCGGCAGTGTGCGCTGGCAGCCCAGAAGGCCAACCGTATCCTGGGCTGTATCCAGAGAAGTGTGGCCAGCAGGTCGAGGGAGGGGATTCTCCCCCTCTACTCTGCTCTGGTGAGACCCCACCTGGAGTGCTGCATCCAGCTGTGGGAGCCCCAATATCAGAAGGATAACGACCTGGTGGAGTGAGTCCAGAGGAGGCCACGAAGATGCTCCGAGGGCTGGAGCCCCTCTGCTATGGGGACAGGCTGAGAGAGTTGGGCTTGTTCAGCCTGGAGAAGAGAAGGCTCCGGGGAGACCTTATAGCACCTTCCAGTGCCTGAAGGGGCTACAAGGAAGCTGGGGGGGACTTTTTACAAGGGCCTGTAGTGACAGGACAAGGGGGAACGGGGTTAAATTGAAAGTGGGAAGATTTAGATTGGATATCAGGAAAAAATTCTTCACGCAGAGGGTGGTGAGGCACTGGGACAGGTTGCCCAGAGAAGCTGTGGATGCCCCATCCCTGGAAGTGTTCAAGGCCAGGCTGGACGAGGCTTTGAGCAACCTGGTCTAGTGGAAGGTGTCCCTGCCCATGGCAGGGGGGTCGGAACTGAATGGTCTTTAAGGTCCCTTCCAACCCAAACCATTCTAGGTTTCCTCGACAACTCATTGGGCCCCGGTGGAGCTTTATTGGTTGGCCTTGAGTTGCATGGTAGTCTTGAAAATACATGGTAGTCTATGAAAATACATCCATGTGATACCTTTCTTTTTGTTCCTTTATAAGGTGCTGTGTTGCTTTATAACTTGGAGGCATAGGATGGGGGTAGGGGAGGGTTTGTTTTGTGTTTCTCAGATGGTGGTAAAAGGCCAGCAGGTCAGTTGGTCATAGGATCATTCCTGTTTGGGGTTTTTAGGTTTTGTTCTGGTTTTTTTTGTTTTCCTTTTCTGAGTTTTCGTGTTCTCCCAGTTCTGTAGGCAGACATTACCCAGTTTCGTTATGGTTCTGCTACTTGCCTTAGCTTACCCTGAAAGCTGTATGGGGAGGGGGGTTTCTCTGTTCTCATACTGAGGTGTAAATGCAGCCAGAACCTGGGAGATTACAGCCTCCGCTGGACACTTGAGTTCTTAGATCTTCAAAAACCATGTCAAAACTCTGCAAGAAAAAGACCAAATCCGCTGGAAAAACAAGTTCTTAACTTGTAATTGGTGATATTTAAAGAAAATCCAGTGCAACTTGTCAGAGTTTCCAAGCATGTGCATACTGCGTATCGTTTTTGTTTCTTAGAGGAGTAAAAGGGGTGGTTTAACAGGGGTGAAGTAGCTCAGTTTCTTTTAAGGGAGGCAAGTGATCAAAGCCTGCTAGGTGCTGTAGTGTGCTAAAGCTTTGTTTTGGGCAAAACATGCTAATAAACTGAAATTAATCAAAGCTGAAGAACACTTTTCAGCTATTTTAAATATCCCTGTGGAGTGTCTGCAGCAGGAACATTGCATAAAGGAACCTGAAAATACAGCTGAGCTGGAAGGGGCAGGCTGCCTGCCCTGATTTCGTCATGGTAAGAAGCAGCAAGTGGCATAAAAGAAAACCAGTTGAGCAGTTACTTTGGTTGTTGAACAAACCTCCACTGCTATCCTGGTACGTGGCTCGCTTCCTGGTGCCGGATTCAGTTGAAGACCCATGTTGTGAAACGGGAGCTGCGTGGTGCTAATGCTGCTTGTGTTTCTAACTGTTTCAAACCAAGGAAAATTAAACCGGTCATTAGACGTGTTGGATAATAGCTTGCACAGCAGGTTTTGTGGATTCTCAAGGGTTTATTGTGATTCTTGGCTGTTTGTTTAGAGCCTTTCCAAAGGTTAGCAAGGGTGAGTAGCTCTTCTGTTTGTGTACGGTGACTTCCTCAGGGTGTAAGAATGGTGCCATGCGACTGTCAAATCTAGAGGCTGTCACCGCTGAAAGAATGCGTAAATATCGTATGATTTAAAAAGGCTGGGGAGTAATTAAGGCCCCCCTGTGTTAACCAATGTGTATGTTGCTCTCGACATGCTGCCCCGGTGAACAGCCAGCCCTCTCCGAATTTACACGGGGGGCACTAGGCACCCATTTCAGACGGGTGCTGTGTGTCTGCTCGCCGCAGACCCACACAGGAGTGAAGGGAGATAAGTAATTTATTGTTGCCTGATACTGTTCTTGGGTCACCATTTAACCAGGGCACGGGACGTGTCCCGTGCCCTGGTTAAATGTTGACCTCGGGAATAAGGAGAGTGTCTGTGGGACACGGGAGATTGGGCTGGCTGGGAAAGGAAAGGGCGATGTGGTGCCTCATCTGGTTCCCGAGAGGTTGAAAGCCTGTTTCTCTGCCTGCCGAGGGGCAATAACTTCATCACCCTCACCCGAGCCGTTCCAGTTTTCAGATGAGGTTTTCAAACATTCAGCCACGTTGCTATACGTCCGTGCTCTTCTCCCCCGTTGTTCTTCCACGTGCCCTCCAAAAAGAGCTTAATCCTCCATTGCTTAAATGCTCAGAGCCACATCTTTCTTCTCCTCATTGTTTCCCTGAGAGGATCAATCCATCCTAACACCTTTTTTTGCGTGTGTGGGAAATCTTAGCTCGGAGGTCCCCCTTGGAGGAGCTCGCGCAGTGAACGGAGCGTGACCTGCGCCCCCCTACCGTGAACACAAAGGTACTGATTTAATGCCTGGAGCGACATTCCGGCACGTGAAGGGACTACAGATGGCCCTTTGTATTCCTCGCCCTGCTGCTCCCGGCTCCTTTGTAGCACGGGGCGACCGGCGAGGAATCCGCACGGCGCGTTACGCTGGCTCGCGGACGGACGAGCGCGGGCTCCCGGGAGAAGGTGCCCTGGGTGATGAGAGCCTAATTGCCGTCCCTGCATCAGCAGCGCTTGGGAAGCATCCTGGGAATTGCTGGCCCTACGCTCGGAGCGGCTGATCACATGAGCCTGAATTTTCGGTTCAGTTCATTAGTCAGCCATTTTGGTCGACACCCTGCCTGCTGCGCGCAGCCCAGCCTACCGCCGCTCGCCGTCCTGCCTTCGCTGCGGGGAGAGCGGCCGGCACGTTGATCTCGGCCAGCCCGGATAGCCGTCCCTACCGTCTTCCTTTGTCGTTGCTGGGGTAATCGTCGGAGGAAGCCATTCTTTTTCCTTTCTGCCTTGGTTCTTCTCTTTATATTTTTCTTTTTACCTTTTTTGGTTTTTTTCCCCCCCTTGCCTCCTGTATTTGATGCAGCAGCCGGGTTTTCTGTGGTCGCTTAGGATCCGTAGCTTCTAGCAGAGCTGAAGAAAACAGCTCAGGGAGCAGCATTTTTACCTTGCTGTATATATGCGAAGGCCAGAGCGTTCTGTGCCATCCTGAGCGTATCTGTCCCTTAACAGCAAGGTATCTCTTATTTTCTTCTTCAGAAAGCCGTTGGGTTTAGTTCTTATTTTTTCCTCCCCGTTGTTGTTGTACCAGCTGAGTCATCATGTCTGCTCTGACGCCTCAAAGCGACATGCCAACCCCCACCACAGACAAGATCACTCAGGCTGCCATGGAGACCATCTATCTTTGCAAATTCCGAGTGTCGATGGATGGAGAATGGCTCTGCTTGCGCGAGCTGGACGACATCTCCCTGACGCCCGACCCAGAGCCTACCCATGAAGGTACGGTCCGGTGCCCTGCCTGGGGAGCCCTGCGGCCCGTCGCATTGTTACGGCGGCTGCACGAGGTGGGAGGGGGCGTCTCCGGGACGAGATGCTCTTGTCCTGCCTGGAGAACCCACGCACCCTTTGCCAGATGAGAAAGCCCAGTTGGTGCTTCGGATTGCCCTTTGAATTTGTTGTGTGTTTTGTAATCCCCCCCTCTGAGAGAGCCGGGTTTGTGCTGAGTTGTTATTTTTTAAGAGGTACCTGGAGAGGTGAGGTTTGTGCGGCGGAGGAAGGAAGGAAGGATGTGTGCTCGGTGATAGAATTAATCATGATTTTACTCTTCAACAGGGCTTACAGTGCTGTGAGCTGCCAGCTTGTACAAATGCAGCCGACTGGCAGAACAACAGCCGGGTGCCCGTGCAGGGTCGGTCACTGTCAGCCCGGGCGGGTACGCGGTTATGCCCGCTGTCAGGTGACAACGCCGTCGCACGTTCTCCCGCTGGCCTCTGCCGAGCGTGCTGTTTAAAATGGCTCGGAGGCCTGCAAAGTGCAAGGGTAGCGCGTCTTGCATGCTTCTTGGAAAAGGGATTTGTGATCTGGGTTGATGGTGAAATCAGTTGAGTACCCCGTCACGTAAAACGAGGGGTGAAGGCTTTGCAAGCGTAAAGACACCAGAGGACATCCGTGTGTAGCTCTACCAATAAAAACAGTGGGGAGGGAGGAGACACGGTGAATTTGTGCAGGCATTTGGCACAGTGGCCAGTGCTCCCGTGGTCACCAGCACTGCCAGGCTCAGTGCCCCTTGCTAGATGCCAAGCATCTTTCAGCTTTCCAGGGAGGGGTCCTCACCTTCTCACGCCTGACCCTCTTCCCGTGGCTCCACCAAGTCATCTTGCTTGATGACTTGAGCTTTAAAATGAATTCCTGGGTGGTAACTGAGTTTCTGTTTGACAGCTGCTTTCAGAGGCACCAGAGCTTGGGTTTGGATTTGCTTGCCAAATACTTAGTGACGGAGTGGGATACTAGACAGGGGTTTCATAAGCAGGGGCGGACGCTCCCTCTGAAGCAGGTCCCAGGGATTCAGAGAGGTGCTGTAGGCGCAGGGAAGCAGAACCAGAGTAGTGAGCACAGGCTGACTTCCACATCCTGTGTTCTTGTATGTTGGCACAGGCTTATCCAGACCTTGCTCTATCTCCTGTGTTTTTGGGCTTCAGCGTTATGTGGCTTTTAGCAGTACATTCCAGTGTAGGTGGATATTTTACCTATTTTTGTACGTTCTTTCTCTCAGAAATAGCAACTACTCTTTTGACTTGTCACGCTGTAGTCAGTAAATGACCTTTTAAGCCATCCAGGGTGCTTCTCGCAGTATAGCATGGGAAACCTTTCAGTCACACTGAGTCAGTTCTTCAGATCCCTATTTTTGTAGGTGTGTCTCCTCTCTGTTTGCCGTCTTGCTCTGAGCAAACTCAGGGGGAAGGCTGGGATGAACCCCGTGTTTGTAATAGAGCTTTTCTGGGTTGCCTTTCTGAGATACGCTGAAGGTGTGTCCTTCCAGCCTGCAGATTGCACTCTTGTCTGCCTGGGTAAACAACTGAAACGCTAACGCTAGACTAACCCTTCCTCAAAACTAGATAAAACAGCTGTTGGTAAAGCTGTAATTACAGCCACTCTCTTGCAAGTACCAGAAAGGGTTAGAAAAGAGTATTTGCTCGTGTCATTGCCATAGTTAATTCGTACATCGGTGAAACGAAAGATAAAAGAGCTGTATCATAACGACCTTTATGGAGCTGTTCATCCATTCATAAATTAAGGTGGCGTGTCGAGAGGCAGAAAGACTGGTTGGTTGGGGTGGGGTTGGACCCCAGTCATATTTTTAGCAGAGAGGTGAGGTCAGGCAGAAGTGTTGATAATAGGAAAGCTGACGCAGCTTTATCCCTAGTGCCGGAACTGCTGCTACTGCATCAGCGCTGCTGCTGTGTCCTCGGTGCACGCTCGGGTGGAGGGACAGGCCGGGGGGGCCTGCAGGCACCCGGTGCTTGTCAGGGAGGAAAACACGTAGGAGATTATGAAGAAGGGGAAAAAAAAAAAAAAAAAAAGGCTCGAGTTCTGCCCAAGGCATGACAAAAGGTTGCATTATTTTTTTCCTTGCAAATAAAGACACGTAAAAAATAATATATTACAGTAGTAAGTCCAGCAGCTTGTGGAAATAAGGATTTGAATCCTCCAGCTGCTGTCCCTCAGCTCTTGCTGCTTCCCCGGAGTGTTTTGCTTCTGGCCTCTCTTCAGTCTGTGATCTGCTCTGCCCCCAGCCCCCAAGCAGCCATCCAGCCTTCCTCCTCCTCCCTGCGCACCCGTCGTGCGGAGGCTGAGCAGGACCGGCGCGCTTGTCCTTGCACCCTGGGTGTCTGCACCCATCCTGGCACCCGGAGCTGCCAGCCAGCCCGGGTCCCTCGTTTTCCCCTCCGGGCTTCCTGGGTTTGTCAGTTGTCTTACAGGCCTTACGCCTTCAAGCCTCCCTCCATACGGCTGGCGGCAGTGTTGGTGGCCGCTTCGCTGTTTTTCAAGGTGCATTTTTTTTCCCCTTGTAGAAGTATCAGAGGTAGGGCAAAAAAAGCAAAATGTCTGAGAAAACTGAATTTCTGCTAAACAAGAAGCTGCAGTACTTTTTTTTTTTTTAACCAATGAAATTAGTTTGTCAGTAGTGGTTAGTTGTATTATTTCTCTTTTTTGTTCATTTGTTGTTTTTAAAGCAGATTACTTAGTAGCTAAAGTAATTTATTATTTAGCTTACTACTTAAAAATACAGAAGGAGGCTAAAGTCAGTCATGTTTACCTGCTCGGGTTTGATAACCCTCACCAGAACACTGTGTTTTGATTCCAATCAGAGAGAGGCGTCAGAAGAAGAGTTTTAATGGTGCCAGATCCTAGAATTGGGATGTCAGGAGGAGCCAGAGGCAGGTGGCTGTGCTTTCTGACAGTGCTCCAAGGGCTACGTTGGAGTTAGGGGCAGTAACTGCAGCTGGTGCTTCTTGTTTTCTGGGGCCAGACCTGCTGACAGCCCTTTGCTCCGGAGTCTGTTTGCTATAGCTTTCTCTGGAATAGTCCCACTCAAGGCCAATTTTGTGACAGGAGCTGGAGGGGCAGGGAGGGAGCTGGTGATGCAAGGGCAGAGTGGTAATCACAGTCTTGCTCATTGATGGTTAAGAACAATAGGCTCCTACATGTGATGTTTTCTGGGAAAACCAAGCCAGATTCTGCTGCTTCCTAAGCCAAAGGCAGTATACTTTGGGAAGAGGTTTCCGATCTAAGATGTAAATTTGGAGTAATTCCATTCCTGCCACACAGTTGGACTTTCTGAGCGTAACTCTGAGCAAAACTTCAATTTTGCTCAGTTTCAGAGTAGCATGTAGCAGAAGAGTAGGTGCTTTAGGATGGTTACTGAGTTTCTTGCAGCTGTATGCATACAATACAGCATGTAACCAATTTTATAATAAAAGCAATTTTTTTTTTTCCAGCTGTTTGGAACAGTACTGTGTGTATGAAAATAAGCTGATTTTGTTATATGCTGTAAATCTGCTTGGCTTAGAAAATGAGATTTTAAAAATATAAACAGTGGTTCTTGATTGGGTAACAAGAACTTTGCTGTGCAGCATCACAAAGAGAAACGTAACACTAGTGGCTACTCAACTCCTGTTTGTCTGCGGTATGTGTAATGACCACTGAGGCATCTTTAGGGACTGAGAAAAGCTTCTTGTTTGTATTTCTGTTGCACATTCAAGAATGCGCGTCTGTACGGGCTTGAACACTGATCACAGAATCCCAGAACGGTTTGGGTTGGAAGGGGCCTTAAAGACCATCGAGTTCCAACCCCCCTGCCATGGGCAGGGTGATGTCACCTTTTGGGTGAAGTCATGAAATGCAGCATGGCCTTGCACGCCTTTACTGGATGACAGACTTGTACTCGGAAGCATCAGTCTGCCTGGGGAGCTTCGTAGAGCAGTGGAAATCTGAATCCTGGTGAGATCAGCTTGTAATTGAGACCAGGAGCACACGTGGTAACTGTATGATCCCAATTCACGTGTCACAAATTACAGTGTCCCTTTTTAAGTTTAATCCTGTCCTGTTTGCACTGAAACATAACCTTATTGGTTATATTTTGGTTTTGCAGGTTGGCAGCTGCCCTGGCACTTCAGTTTGCACGGCGAGCGGGAGCGAGAGCAGGTGACATGTTTGAAGCAGCTAGAGACCAGATTAATAGCACACGTGTGGAGGCAGTGATACGCAAGATACATGAATTACAGTGTGCTGATGGTCACAAATCTTCTGAGTAGCGGTTAGGGTCACATAATCCAGACAGCACCTACTGAAAAGCAGCATGATGGTCGTCTCCCTAGGGAGGGAGGAGACGCCCCGCTGGCTGTGTTTACTCTGAATCCCATCACGAGCCAGGAAGAAAGGGAAGTGAAAGACAGACACTTGACCCTGAACCAAAGGGGAGGAAAGGTGCTGTTTTCAAAAGCTCTAGGGCAGTTAGTACCATCCTCCAGTCAATTTGAAGGAGTTAGGAGGAGAGGGAGCGAGGGGTCTGTAAGGCGAGGGCGAGACCGAGACCTACGCCAGGCTGCTCTAATTTTGGTTTATATTTTCGATTTTAAACTTCTGTCAATATCTTCAACGCTGTAATTAAGAAATTACAATCAGGAGTTGTTTTCTTGGCTCTTTTTAAGCTTTTTCAGTCTAAATGAGGTCAGGTCTGGGAAATGTGAGGTGGGTTTATTTCCCTCAGAAATAATGAATCAAAAGTGTTGCAGAGAAGCCTCTTGGGTGTCAACTGAGCCGGGAAGCTAGGGATGAGGCGATGGGGAAGTCAGTAGGGGCTTGTTTTTCCTTTGTCCGAACTAGCAAGTGCCAAAATAAAATGGGAGGTTTCTCATCGCACTTAACTCATATATTTCCCTCTGGAAAGAAGCTGGTTGTGGAGAAACATTCCCTGTGTCTCCACAGATACAGAAATG